TCCCAGATGATTTCTGAACTAAAGGTCTGATCTTGCATAGATTTCCAAGTAAAAACCCAAATGTACAAAATTTGTTGACTCCGAAAAATGCAATTCCAATGTGGACAACAGATGTCGAGCCCACTCATGCTAACTCAAGCAAGTTCCGATGTCCCAGATGATTTCTGAACTAAAGGTCTGATCTTGCATAGATTTCCAAGTAAAAACCCAAATGTACAAAATTTGTTGACTCCGAAAAATGCAATTCCAATGTGGACAACAGATGTCGAGCCCACTCATGCTAACTCAAGCAAGTTCCGATGTGTTTTGAATGGAGTAACGATGGGAGAAGGAAATGAGGGAGATGCTTTACGGTGCGACTAAGATGATTGCGTTAACAATCAATTACCAACAAAGTGTAAATAGCCTAATATCAAACTAACGAGTATAGAACAATTAAGAAGGTTTCTTGAGAATATTTTTCTTAAGTGTTTTTCTAGTGTATTAGAATTAGTACTCCATGAACTATCCAAAAAGCCCCTTTCAATATACAAAGACCACATATTTATAATGTTTTGGCCGACATGGTGTCCGTTGGATCAGATGCACGTGGCATCATCTCCTTGACTGAAACCTCACACCACTAAGTCTATCATACAATAAATGGGAGAACAATTAGTACTCCAATCATTGGTGGGAGTCAATGTCCTTAACCAGGACTAAGGATCAACAAGAATCTCTGATAATAGTCGTCTAAACCTAGAAAACTTCAAACGTCGCCGCATTAACTGGTATGTTCCACTTAGTTACTGCCTCTACTTTAGCTAGGTCAATTTCAATCCCATGACTAGTAACTATGTGACCAAGAAACCCTATTTGGTCGAGCCAAAATTCACACTTCTTGAACTCGGCATATAATTTTTCCTTTCTTAAAGTTTCTAATTTCTATTCTAAGATATTGTTTATGTTGATCTTTGTCTTGTGAGTATATCAAAATATCGTCAATAAAGACTATGACAAATCGATCCAAAAATTTATGAAACACTGTATTCATCAAATTCATAAACGCCGCTAGAGCGTTGGTTAGACCAAAAGGCATCACTCTAAATTCTTAGTGGCCATATCGAGTCTGAAAAGTTGACTTCGGTATATCACTTGACTTAATTTTTAATTGATGATACCCTGATTGTAAATCAATCTTAAAGAACATTTTTGCTCATCTCGGTAGAGGATACTTGTTCTTAATAGTGAGTTTATTCAGTTCACTGTAGTCTATGCATATTCTCATGGTACTGTCCTTTTTCTTAACAAATAATACTGACGCTCCCTATGGAGAAACACTGGGTCGAATAAACCAATTATCTAACAATTCTTCAATCTTGACTTTTAATTCTTCTAACTCTTTTGGTGCCATTCGATATGGTGCTTTAGATACTGGTGCTGCTCTAAGAACCAAATCTATCACAAACTCAATTTGCCTATCTGGTGGTATACCCGGAAGATTTTCTGAAAATGCATCTTCAAATTCTTGCACTATCGATACTTCACTCATCTTATTTTCTTAATGTTGCGTTACCAAAACATTTCCTAGAAATGCCAAACATGTTTCTTCTTCCAATATTTTTTTTTATCCTTTAACGTCGAGATTACTTGTGGTTTATGTTTGGTCTTTAATCCAAAGAAGAAGAATTCATCTTTTTCTAGAGTTTTAAAAGACACTTCCTTTTCTCGACAACAGATGGTGGCATTATTACAACCTAAACAATTCATGCCTAAAATTATGTCAAAGTCTTTCATGTCTATAATGAATAGATTTGCCTCAAATGCTCTTTTTTCAAGTTCCATTTGAACCGACTTATCTATCTTATGAATGTTTAGCACCATCCCTCAAGGAATGCTAACTTCTAGTATGCTATCATACTTATCACATGCAATATTAGATTTAGCTACGAAATACGATGAAACAAAAGAATGAATTGCCTCGGAGTCAAATAATGTATAAGCTGGAAAATCATCTATAAAAAGAATACCTATTATAATGTTGGGTTCTTCTTTGCCTCTTGCTCAGTCATAGGAAAGACTCGAACTTTCCCTTTGTTATTCTTGTCATGCTGCTCATTCTTTTTAGGAACAAACTCTATGCAATTTCAAGCCATGTGGCCTGACTTCCATACCGAAAACAAATATTTTTCCCATCAAACACTCATATGTATTGTTTGCCATACCTAGGACAGGGTGGAATGGGATTGTCCCCACCCTTGCTAGCATCAGCTCCACTGTTTACTTTTTTGTTCAGTTATTTTTCGTTTCTCTTACCGTAGTTGTTCCAATTTACCAACCACATACTTATTTTGTTGGCTGCCTTGACCATGATAGTTTGTACTTATCTTTATTCCATAATTTTCAGTACTAGCCCTTTGATACTAGATAGCATGAGCTCGTTCCAACATTTTGCTATAGGTAGTAAAACGATGAAACATAAGGATCATGCTAATATCTTGATGAAGCCCTGGCTAAAATTTCTTTATTTTCCTAGCTTCAATATCCACCAAATGTGGAGAATATCTAGGTAGCTGGTCGAACTTCCTCTCATAATCAATGAAAGTCAAGCTTCCTTGCTTTAGCTGTAAAAATTATGTTTCCTTGAAGTCCCTTAATGCTTGGGGAAAAAACTTCTCAGTAACTTCTTCTTTAAACTGATTCCAAGTCAAAGTCTCTTGTTGATCCTCAGTCCTGGTTAAGGACATTGACTCCCACCAATGATTTGCTGCTCCCATGAACATAAACTTCGCGCATTGTCCTTTTTGTGCAACATTGGAATCTATAAGTAGAAACTTTGTCCCAATTTTCACAGACATTCCTCGACAGCTAATGGATCACCCTCACCGTTGAAAGAAGGTGATTTATACCTTCTGAAAGTTCCCACAATCGAAGCTTGAGTTGAGGTAGCTACAGGTTCGCTTGTGAGGCTTGCCTTCCAAGATCTTGCACCGTTTACAACAAATCTCTTATCAAATCATTCTAGTTTGGTTGCGCCACTTTCTTTAGACAATAAAATAAATTTGAATCTATTAGACAAGCACGCCACCAATTCAAGAACGAAATTTTAAAAGAAATTTGCATAATTCCATTTACAACCTAAAACCCCAAACTTAGCAATTGATATTATTCTTATTTATTTATTTTATTTGTCTATTTATAGGCCTTCTACATCCCTTCTCAATCTTCCTCCAGCTCCTTTTTGGGGTCCTCCTCTACCACTTCCTCGATGATCCCCACCGGTTGATTTACCTCATCGATCCCCACTGGTTGATTTACCTCATCAATCCCCAATGGTTGAGTCATCTCATTGTCCGTCATCACTCCTGAATCTGAACTGGAATGTAAGATTACTTCCCTGAGGTAGATTTCCCAATACTCTATAAGAGCATTGCAAAAATCTACATATTTTGTGTCATGAGGATTCCCCGATGTAATTACTGATCCCGTTACTTTTCATAAAAGCTTGCCAATACGCTTTTCTCGAGGTGCTAATGTATCCAAGGGATTTTGAATGGCTTGTCGATCGCTAATTTGATAGCCCACATTCTTAGCTGCCACCCAACGCTCCTAAACACTTTGCAGATGATCCTCTAAATCTAGGGAATCATCAACTTCAAAATCCAAATATGCCCTAATCGCAATTTCTAAGGCACTAACTATATTGCTTCTTCTTCTTCTAGCCGATTGGCTTCTTCTAGCCATCTGTCGCCTATAGTTATCACAGTCCAATAAATATTTTTTTCACAACTAACAATAAAAATTTTGAAAACATAACTTTAAATTTTCTTGAAAATGTTTAATAAAATGTTCATACTTGAGTTGAGGATGTGGTTGATTGATGGATGCAGCGTACCAAGGAGGATTCAAATCCTTATCCAAAAATTTTTCAAACTTTTAATAGTTTTTCTTAAACACAAGAACATTTGTGTGGAACGTATTTATTTAAAGCTGTTAAACTTATAACATGCTAGTACTAGATGTTTTAATTTTAATTACATCTACACATGTAAGTACATAAATAAGATTTCTTTTATACATTGGGCTATGATATCAAAATGTAATGATCTAAATCTTGGAATTGGAAATTAGTATAAAAACAACAACATTTTTTTTCTTTCAAAAAATGGGGTTAAATTAACAAACAAGTTTTCAAGGTTTGTCCAAAGGTTTTTTTTCTCTCTTTGAAGAATTCTTCAAGAGATTTTCCTTTGTTACCAAAATTTGGTGTTCTTTACTTTATTGCTTTTGATCTGCATGTTTGAGTGATCGCTTAATTAGAGTTTAATTGGATTATCCTTAATTATCTAGAGACAATAATTTGTGACGTATTACTTATTATTGTTTATTTATTCTAATTCCGCATTATACATCTCTAGGTGTTGTTTGGGTCAAAACCTCGATAATTTTCAGGTTGTCTCTCAACAAGAGTTTGTTTATACTCATTAGCTTGAGTTTTGCAATCTGTATCAGGAATACTAAAGAAAATTTTTGATCACTACAACAAAAATAGCTTACAGCAACGTTTTTTCTGTATCAGGAATACTAAAGAAAATTTTTTATCACTACAACAAAAATAGCCCACGGCAACGTTCAAAAAACGTTGCCGTAGGCCTATGGCAACGTTTGGACGTGTGTTGCAAATCAAGGTATTGTCGTAGATTAGAGAGATAAGGCAACGTTGTTGAAGGCTATTTTTGTTGTAGATAGATTTTTTTTATTTTTTATTTTTTTTAACAACAACAACAACTTATGCAATATATTGACAAAATTGAAAATGCAACTTATGAACAAATTTTGGAATTGCATAAAAATTGATAATTTCATCACAAATTTTTTAATCCATACACTCGAACATTAGAATGGGATACAACACCACTTAACAATGTACATGGCGTGAAATCAGAGCAAAGGAAAAATCCAAGATCACAAGATCCTCTCCATCAAAAGCTTCAAATTTTGTACTCCCCGTAAATCTTATACTATCCGTGCTCAAATGTAACCTCTTCGGATTTCTTATACGCCCGATCCCTTCGAAGTAAACAAGAAACTCCTTCTGAGTCGATCGAACATCTTACACCATTCACTTCAAGGAGGGTTTCGGGACTGAGGGGGATGTGCTTGAGAATAAGAGATTCATGGGTTGACTCGTCCACCTTGAAATTGCTTATTCTGATATAGAACACTCTTGTGTCAATCCAAGGTAATGAAAACTTACCACCGGATTGATACAAAGAATGCCTTTTAATCTTTAATCCCGGATCGACCAGATTCCCATTGCCGTGCAATTCTTGAGAATTCTCCATCTTTTTCGCAAATTAATTTACACCAAACTCCTATGTGGACATTGATATAACCAGATGAATGCAATTCACAAGCATAAAGGAATTCTGTTCTGTAGCCAACACAAGTCAAAAAACAAAATATTTCTTAAAAAAAGTAAAAGAATACTAAGATGAAAAAGCATCATGCATATACCAGTTGAACTCCAGAGATTTGAAGAGATTCCTTATTAAATATCCCCTAGAACCCATAGAACTATGAACAAATTTGCATCAGAGAAGCATATGAAGTTAAGGTTGCCACTTGCCAGGTAGTAAAGAATAATTGATATTTGCAACTGAATCCTCTATTTAGGGAAAGGAGAAGACAAAATCAAATATCTGGACCAAACATCCTTCTGTTACCTAATGACTGTACCCAATTTTATGGGGGAAAAGCATAATTAAAACTTAAATAATCAAGAATATTCCCAACCACAACAACAAAAAAACAGGGATCAAAATGTAATTCACGTGTAGTCTGCTCAGCCAAATTGATTCAATCTAGAAAAACAATACCCCTACAATGTATTAACAGAATTAGAAAAGAAAGAAGGCACATGTATAGTTAAAAGGTCTGCTAAAACCTGAACCTTTAAGGTCAAAAGCAACAAAAACATTATAACAAGAACAAATGTCTTAAAAATATTATGTTGATTCAGAATCAAGAAACCAATCATATAGGCTTGTTCCATAAACACAGAGTTAAAGTCTTTTTTATCATTTCACAACACTCTTTTTGAGAAGAAACAAACACCCAATTTTATTAAAGGAAAACTTTTAAAATCGAATCTCAAGAATCAACATCAGAGCTCAAACTG